CCTAACTTCCCCGCCAACTTCTCCATGATTGGAACAATCCTACCCGACATTGGAACAACCTTATCGATTAGTTGATACAGTTATTGATTATTTTATTTATGAAATTTTCGGCGGTAAGTTGGGCTTGCGGTAAGTTGGGCTGCGGTAAGATGGGCTCGCGGTGAGTTGGGCTCGCGGTAAGTTGGGCTGCGGTAAGATGGGCGCGGTAAGTTGGGCTGCGGTAAGTTGGGCTGCGGTAAGTTGGGCTGCGGTAAGATGGGGTGTACCCATAAGAGCCGATTGTTTTTAACCTCACTTAAAATATGTAATAAAATGATTATAAAAATAATATATTAATACATATGTATAATAAATAGAAAATATCAATAAAAATAAAGCCTAAATTTAAGTGTAAGCCGTGTGCTGTTACTGTTTATGATAAAGAATTATGTAATTGTAAAAGCTTTTCTTCGGATATATTTGCTAATGGGGAATTATTCGAAGTTTCTATAAATGTTAACGGTGATAGAAATAAGACAAAAATTTATCTATCTGTTAATGGTAGAGAAGATAAAAGTTTCACAATAATAACTGATTTAAAAATTTGGTCAATTAATAAATTATCGGTAAGATAAGTTAATAATTTTACAAAAATCACTTTATTACAAGCATTTCAAAATCTGAAAAATTGGACTAGCCTCACAGAAATATAGAAAAAACTGCAAAATTGCTTTATTATTGAAATATTTCTATATACCGTATTTATTCTAATTGAATGGACCCTCCATTTGAATGGCCCTCTAATTGAATGGCCCTTTTTTGAATGAAAGAAAAATAGAATGGCCACCTCCATTTGAATGGCCACCCAATTGAATGGCCCTTTTTTGGGGGTATCGAAAAATAGAATGGCGGCCATTCTATTAGAATAAATACTGTATGTATAAATATAAAAGGCAAAGTTCATTGACAATTTTGGTACTTAAGTTACTCTGTTAGATAAATTACAATACTCCAACTATCGCAAATCTAACAAACGCGTTATCCCCAAATTCACTGATATCTAACAAACGCAAAATCAGGAGAATTGTAAGTAGAGTTTGACGCAGAGTTTTTGGGCTAGCGGACCCATGAGATTTTCAAGTCCGGTTGCCAAATTCTAGCTTTTTCATATAAAATTATGATTTTCGCCTGAGGCGCTAATAAAGAGAATTTATTATTTTATAAGCGCTAATTATAAGGCGAACATCTTATAAATGAGGATATGTTTTTAATAAAAGGTTATAAATTATTATTTTATGTAGTTAGAAGGTGATATCCAGCTTTTAGAATATGAATATATTCCTGATAAAAAACCATATTTGATTCATAGAAAAGAGATAAATGATTTGATACAATATGGAATGATCGTATGTTTTGAGGCTTTGGTACCCACTGCTGAAGAAATGAACTATGAGAGTTACTCATTTACACTAAAATTGGTTCACGACCCGCAAATTGCGAATACGGCTGGTAAAATTATTAATAAACCATTTACAGTAGATAGCAAACTATGAAAGGAGTTCGTACTTTAACTCAAAATAAAGTATTTTAATATAAATGTAATCCTTTAATATTTCTAATTTAATAAGATGTTGATAATGTGATGGAGATAACATTCATTTTTGTGCCAGACAATAATTCAGGAACGAAATTTAAAAAAACGAGTGGCTCGCATTTAAAAATAAGAAGCTATAAATCTAAAACAAGAACTTATCACAATGAAAGATACTACTTAAATCATATTGGACCTGGTATGCCCATACTTGTGCTGATAACATCTTGTGAGAATAATAGCTACACAATTAATATTAATGAGGGTGATGATATATATTATACGTCTATATTTCCTCCTTGGGCAATAAATCTTGTTGAGGTATGTTTTTGAGATTTATAGTGCCGAAAAATGCGGGTCGGATCCTTTCCGTAATACTTCCGTAATACCGAACCTTGTCGAAATCTAACGGTGACTACAACGTAAAAGGTGATGGGATTCGTATATATTTATGGATACTTGATAAATTTCCTTTCCAGATTACGAACATGAAAAATGAAGTTTTGTTTGACAACGAATCGGAAAAATGTAGCAGAATAACACACAACATTGCAAAATTTGAATTGGATAAAAGAACACTAAAAGTAGACAAATCATTATTTAATAACAAAAGCGAAGTCATCATTACAGGAATTTTCAATGAATCTATTAGCGTTAATTTCCTTCACGAGGCTCTCAAATGGAACGATACATGTTTGATTTTACATTTTAAGCATTATCACAGGATGTTTTACTTGATAATGTCGTTTTCCCCTCATTTTCCTTTTTAATTACTTTCCGCAATTTATAAAAAATTAAAATGGTTAACGACGCTAAATGGTAAAGGATCAAATAAATATGTATAGAAAACAAGTATGAGAGTAATCCCGATAGGAACATTTTTATATGGGTGCAGAAAATTAGTAGAAAATGGAATAATGGCAATTTGTATTGGCCATATCGACTAGTGCTTCGCCTGAATCGCAAATATGGCCGGAACCGGAACTAAAATTTTGACCGGATCCGGAACCGGATCTAATTTCTTTTTTCTTCTCTAATCGCCGGATCTAATTTCTTCCGGCGAAGCACTAATATCGAACATTTGTAATTTTTACGGAAAGGAATATGTCGAGTAAATGGGCGAGTTATTATTTGATCCAAATAATCATAAAATATATTTATTTAGTTAATTTTGTATTTTTAGTAGGCAACACAGTCTTTCAATTGAATATTACAAAAAATTCAACATGCGTAGATTCATATACGGTACATATCTTGTAAATTAATTTAAGTTCAAATTATTTGACAGAATTGGCGGTGGATTAAAAGGGAAAAAAATGAAAGTGATAGATGTACTGAAAAACATAAAGGCTTGGAGAATGGGAAATTGATAAAATTAATTTTAACGTTTCCGAGCTCCTTACATCTTTTGTATGTATTGGAAACAAAAGAAGATGTTATTGAAAGAGAGATTAATTTGGATATCCCTGTAACGTTGACACAATATATTCACGTAAGATTGTTATTTTTATGAAGTTTGAGACAAAATTTTCCACATCTTCACTCTAAGAGGGCCAATAAATTCTGAGAATATTTTTAATAGATATAAACGAGATGCTTGGGCTTCTTGTTAATAATTAAAGCTAATTTAAATATTTTTCAGGTAGTCAATTTAAAAAGGTCTGAAGCTGCAAAATTAATTAGCTTTGAGAAAAATTCAGAAGAAATTTTGGATTAATTTAAATATTTACATAATATATTAAAATTATATTTCTGAATATTGTCAATTTTTTCTATTTCGTTATTATAATTTATTACATAAATAAATATTAAACATATTAATAAATTAATACTGGAATTAATAACATTAATACTTAATAACATTACTACTTTATAAAATTAAATTCCTCAAACATGTATTGAATCCCATTAGCTTGAAAATTTTTGGTCCAGATTTTTAAAAAATTTGGTCCATAAAAAATTTGGTCCAAAAAATTTGTACATATTTAAAAAATTTTTTAGCATTTTATGGTGAATTTAAATTTTTTTTATAAAATTAAATTCCTCTCTATATTTAGTAATAAAACAGAATTTTATTTAATTTTATTTTTTTTAAATAAATTTTATTTAAAAAAAATTTAATAAATTTTATTTTTTTTGAATTTTATTTTTTTTAAATTAACTTTTATTTACAAGAATATTAACAGTAAATCGGAAATTAGATAGATAGACTAGCTGGCTTCTCTCGATAGACATTCTTTTGAAAAATTTAAAAATAAAAACAAAATTGCCAAAACCAAATCGAAATTTCGAACTCATTTTTATTACTAAAAGTAAATTAAAAACCAATTAAATTAAAATTATTAAATAAATACTAAAAAAATCTAAATTATAAATGATCCAAAACTTGAAATAAAAAAAGTTATTTTGTTGAAAAACCAATATATTTTTATAAGTTACGTAATTATAAAACAACCCATTTTTTGTGTTTCTAATACTTCCTATTTACCAATTAAATGCTTCCTTCATATAATCTCAAAACCCCGAAATCAACGGGAACCGGAGGTACGGTACTTCAAAAAATATGTCCCATATAAGTCAAGAGTACCGAGATCTTTATGAAGGAAGCAGTTAATTGGTACATAGAAAGTAAAGAGTAACAAAAAAAGTTGTCTTATAATTCTTATAATACTGTAATGGTCTTTATAAAAATTTATTGGTTTTTCAAATAATTAATTTCATTAATTTCAAGTTTTGGATTATTTAAAATTTAAGATTTTTTTAGTTTCTAATTTAATAATTTTAATTAAATTAATTTTTAATATAAATTTTAGTAATAAAAATTAGTTCGAAATTTCGATTTGGTTTTGGCAATTTGGATTTTATTTTTAAATTTTTTAAAGGAATGTCTATCGAGGGAAGCCAGGCTTGTTTATCTTTCTCATTTACTATTTACTGTTAATATTCTTGTATAATAAAAGTCAAATGAATTAAATCGCTTATTTAATTTTAAGATTATTAAAGATAAACAAGAGCTGAAGGCTGTAGTTTTCAGCGATTAACACTCTTCTATTAATTTTTGGAAAATGTTGCAAAAATTATATATAACAAGCAAACTAACAAAAATTTTAGAACTATACTCTCAGTTTTTGGGGCGTGTTTAATTTTAATGGTTGAGTGAGGTTTTTTAATTCTAAAGTTGCCTGTTAACTGTAATCTAATATATTTTGTAGCAAATTAATCATACTGATATTTTTAGTCATTTTAAGGGCGCTTAAATATACTTTGAATTAAAGCTTTTTTCTCAAAGTTAATCGAAAATAAATAATCGAGGAAAACTAATTTAACAGCCTTTAGCTCTATCTTTTTTCCGGCAATGTATAATTTAGCAATTAGAATTAAAATAAATTTATACAAATAATTTAAAACTTTTTAGTTAATTTAAACAATCATGTTGTTTTTATTATTTATGATTTTTCTATTATGTCCATTATTCAATGGAATGGATCAAAATGATTACTGGGCTTGCTGCAATTCATGCTGGAATGGTTTAGAAAATTTATGCCCACAACATTGTTGGAATCTCCATCTTGGAGAATGCATAAATATTTGCTGGAACAATTTCTGTAATTATTGTGATAGCTTTTTTGGGAATCAAAATGCAAATCAATCTGATGATCATTATGAAGAAGAGGATTGTGAAGCAGATCATGATGGAGATGGATCTGAAGGGGAAGTTCAAGAAGATAATCATGATACAGAGGGCCAGTGGGAAGATTATACTAGGGGAGTGTGGGAAGAAATGCCTTCTACATCGCAAGGACATACAAACCATTATCATTATGAAGAAGAAGAAGAATGTGAAGCAGAATATGAAGAGGATGAATCTGAAGGCAATTTTCGAGAATATGATAATACTGAAGGAGGGTGGCATGAAATGCCTTCTACATCGCAAGGGCAAACAGGCCCTCATTATGATAATTGGGATGAGGATGTTTCACAGTATAACCCTGACATACATATTCAATTTGGAGGAATGAATATAGGAGGTATAATTTTATATATGAAATAATATCGTTGGAAAAATAAAATCCTTGTAGGACTTCTCGTTAAATCATTTTTGTCTAATAAATAAATAATTAAAGTAACACTTTAAAATATTTTTCAAAAGGAATCTTTGTTCTTCATTTAATATAGAATAGGAAGTTGTATTTATTATTCCGATAATATCCTATTAATATTGCATATCCTATCTTACAAGATTTATCGTAAAAATAAGTATGTATATAGTTGAGTTTTATGAAACTATTAGAAATTTATTTTTGTATTAACTGTTTCGGATCAAACAATGAATAAACAACTCTATTTATTTTTAATATATTGAAAAAAATTATAAAAAAGCAAATTTTAACAGATCAATCATCTCAACAAACTTATGAAAGTTTATCAGGTTAATTTTGATATGTACAAATAATAATTTTACCAAATTCGATATAATATTAATTTTTGCAGATTTAATAACAGCACAAATTAATTCTGCATCGTTGTCAGGTAACCAATTCATAGCTCTTATTATTGCTTGAATTTTTTAAATTTAGATGGATTCCTTGCTGACATAATCGAAAACTTAAATTCAGAAGGTTTAAGTTTTAATTTTTAAACGCTTTTTAATACTAATCTGGATAACAGTTTTGCAAATATAAGTATAATTATTATAAAAAAATAGATTATTATAAACAAAATTTTTTGTTGATAAATTAGATCCAATTTTTATATTAGCTCACGTCATAATTAGTAGCCGTTTTTTAGATTAAATTTTTATGGACATAACGAAAATAACCAAAATTAATAATCAGGCTTAAGAATTATACTTTAAAGGACTATAATTATTAAAAATTATTTGAAAGTATAGGGCGTACACATAGAGACGATTTTGATCTTCTGGATATGTTTGATGTTAGAATTTTGCAAAATGTTCGTCAAATTTGCGAGAAACTTGGTCCACGAATCTATAAAGATTCTCCGTGGATATCTCACTTGTGCACCATTGCTGATAATATAGATTATATTTTGACTAATATAAGAAATCAAAAGGATAACGGAAATCATGCTTACTATTCATTATTTACAAGAATTTCTAAATATATGATGACATTATATGAGAAAAATCATGAAATTTGCTATTATGTTGATGAAGCTGATGTGAAACGTGACGTACAGGAAATAATTTATCCCATATATTTCCAAAAAAATATAAAAAATTGGAGAGAAAAGACATTAAAAAATTTAACTGCAAAAATTAATGTAAATTTTATAAAATAAAATCAAATATTTTTTATATGTATTCTAAATTCTTTTTGATAATTTATTTCAAATATTTGGATGGCCTTTACTAAGAAGGAGAGACCTACGACCTAAATCTATGAAAAATTAAAATAATTTAGGAATTGTGGGATGTGAACCCCTATGATCTTAAAAGTTTTTGGTAAATCGGCATTTATTTTAAATAATTAATTTTAATTGCTAAGAAATTGATCAATGAGGGTATTCAACTGAAATATGAATACAAAATAACGAGTGATAATATAAAATTATTACCTGGAATTGGATTTAAAGTTGATCATGATAATATGGGTAATATCATAGAAAAGGCAAAATATTTAAAAAACGATTTATTGAAAAAATTGGCTAGAAAAGCTTGTAAAGTCACAAAAATAATTTCACAATTGTGTTTTGGTGAACCATATTTGAATTGTCTTTTGCTCGGACCGGCTCTTACAATATTTTCTGTAGAGCTTTTCATAACAACTATTTTTGCGGATGGTTTTGATCATTTGATCGGAAAATGGCCTTTCTCTATGTACAAGAATTTTGAGGAAGGAGAAAGTTCTCATCGTGGAGGAAATGGTTCAGATTAATCCTATTGTAACTGACATGAGGCATAATTTTCTGATTTAACGATTGATTTGAGTTAATTTATAAGTTAATTTTTAAGAATAAGAACTAAAAATCATCAGCCCCAACTAACATAAAGAAAATTTATAATTATAAAGATAAAATCGAGTCTAGCATAACCGGACATAAGTGAGGTTATTATAAAGGTTGTTTGTACATATGTTCAAGTCCTGCAAATTCTGAGGGAGAAATAGGGCTGCCTATTTTATTAATATTTTAAATATATAAATTTTGCCTCATGTCAAAAAATGAAAAGGATAGCAGTGAAGTAAATTTCAGCTTACTTCTATATTCGGAAAAGACATTTCTTAAAAAAATTCTACATTTTACCCCTTTGCCTATCTTTCCTTTAATTGGTTGAAAGCCACGTTGTGGCGTAAATAAAAAAGAGATTATTTACATATAATTCACTAAAATTTAATGAACATTAATTCAAGATTAAGTCCAGCCGAGAATTACGATTTTCCCATTTAAATTTTTTTGCGTAATATCAAGGATAAATGTGTCGTAGATAATAACAGTGGATTGAAGCGTAAAGTGGATTTAGATTGAGAAGGCCTCTGTTTCAAAAAGCGAACTTCAAAAAAGGAAAACATAACAAACAAAAAATATATCTGAAAATCCTTAACTCTCGGAGCGCTTTTGTCACAAATTTAATCCGTAAATTTTTATTTAATTTTTTTGAATAACATTTCATGACTTTTCACCCAAAGAAAGTATTTACTAAGCTTTCAACCAATCGAAGGAAGGAAAGGTAAAGCAATTCTTTGATATTTATATCTTTTTCAACTTTTCTGTTACTTTCCATTTTAAATTTATTTTAAACCTTTTGCCGATTGACATTTACCTAGCTTTGACTATCTTTGATGATTTTCATTAGATAACGATGACAAAATTCTGATGAGAAATGATTTTAAATTTGTCTGTCTATCACTTTCCAATTTTCTGTTACTTTCCATTTTAAATTTATTTTTAAATTTTTTGATATTTTTATTTAGTAGTAGTTGTCCTTTGATAAAGATTTTCATTTTTGTTTAAAAATTTACAATATTAAACAAACAAAAAGAAAGAAAAAAATCTAAAAGTTTTATCAAAATTTAGATAGAGAACAGATTTGCAGAAGAGACATTCCATTTTTTGAAATAAATTCAAAACAAAATTTAAAAGGATATGTCAAAGGTTGTGGTGGATGTGAAGACGGCAATAATTGTACTTGTTATGATGTGAGACCAATTTTTGTAACTCGGCATGAATGGAACAAAATTAATTAATTAATTAAACAAATTAATTAATTTAGAAAATTTGTTCTTAAACAGCAAAAATAACGGCTACAATAATATTATTATTCATGAACCTGTGCAAAAATGAAGACTACATTAACTTTTATTCATAGGAATAGAGTGAAATGAAATTTTAATCAAAAAATTAAAGGGCGGGGAACAAAAAATATTATAAAAGAACGAAATGAAAATTTTAATAAATTTTTCAATTCTAGAATAAAAAACTTAGAATTTTAAATTGGATTGTGAGAAAATTTGACCACTTAAACGCAAAAGCACTTAGACGAAAAATATTATTTTTAACTTTGACAGAATAAGTTTAAATTTTTTTAAAGAACATTTTGTTTATACAATTAGTATTGACTTAAGTTTATTTTTGAAATATAATGGTGACTTACTTAAAATAGTTTTTCACCAAGTATATTCCAAATTTTAGTTGTTCTATTTATTAATGATCTAGAACTTTTAGAATTTTGTTTTTTTGAAATAATTCTATGAGAGGAATGGCTAGATTTCCTAATAAGATGAGAAAAGAGTGTTTCAAGCAGTGCTTCGAAGCTCGTACCAAAATTCGTACTCGTACCTCGTTCTCGTACTCGTACCTGGTACGAAGTACGAGTACGAGTACGAGCAAAAAAATGAGGCAGGTACGAAGTACGAGTACGAGTACGAGGCCAAAAAAAGTGAAAAGTACGAGGTACGAGGCCTAAGTACGAGCTCGTACTTCTCGTACTTGGTGTTAATAGGAAAATTGAAAGAAATATATTTAATTCCTTCCGTTCATCGTTATGCTCGAGTTGCCGAGTGGTGAAGGTGCTTGGCTGCGCCAAAGTCTGTAATGACGTGATATTGGGTTCGATTCCTATTCAATTTGCCAATGATTTTTAATATTTTTTTTCATAAATAACTTATTTTATAAGTTAATTTTGGTTTAAAACTTATTCTGTTTTTACATGGAGTAATTATTAAATTTTGACTCTCTAAAATTTTTAAAATATTTTTACTTTGAACACTAAAAAGTGAATTTTTTTCTCCTACGGCCTTCCAAAGCCTACGGCCTTCAAAATTTTTGAAAATTTTCGCCTGCGGCGCAGAAAAATGGAGGAGATCTGGCTTCATGGCCTTCAAAATTTTTGAAAAATTTCTCCTGCGGCGCAAAGAATGGAAGAAATCTGACTTAAGGACATCCAAATTCTAAAAATTTTTGTTTGCGGCGCAGAAAGAGAATAAGATTAAGAGGATATCAGGAGATAAAAATGTAAAAAGTTTGGTGAAAAAGGTACAAAGTTCCATGAAAGAAAATGAAAAACGGATGAAAAATACCATGTTTCGGGTAACCTCTTGGATGAAATATTGCTCCTTGTACTCCAAAATGCTCAAAAATTTTGCCTGCGGCGCAGAAAATGGATTCTCATAGGGTAGTTTTTGCCTGCGGCGCAGAAAATGGATTCTCATAGGGTAGTTCAGCTAAATTACATTTTTTAAAACTTTTTTAGTAAAAAATTTTTGCCATTTTTCAAGAGAATTAATTTCTGCTTTGTAAAGAGTGTTCCAAGTTTCCGGTGCGTATTCAAGCATAGGCCTATTGGAGAAAGAATATTGGCATTTTAAATATAATAAATAGTATAGCCTTCATATGTATTTAACTAAATTTGAATCTGAAACTATATGGCGATTGTAGTTAATCATTAACATTTGGTCAAATTCACCCAAAACAATCATTTCAACACCCCCGGCTGGAATTGGGTTATTAAATTCAGGACGAATACTAGTCGTACCGCTTTTTAAAAGTTCAAACCCGCAGATCAAGCGTGGATGTTAGAGGAATCACAAAATATGTCCAACCACTTTTAAATTTTTCCATCGAAATATCGATTCATCTATCTGAATTGGCCACGCCCAGTGCTTCGACATGTCCACAAATGCGCAAACAAATGATTATCTTTAAATTTCAATTTATATGAGACCAAAGGAAAGATATGCCCTCCAGTATGTACAGAAATATCCCATAAATCATATGGCTGAAAATTGAAAGGAGACAAGCCAAAGTCTATTGAATGCTGTATAGAAAATTAAAGCAACAGTAATTCGGAGCAGAATACTGGCGCTGAAAGTATTATATTCAATTTCAGTGCGCCCGGCAGTAAGTAATGACGATTTTATTTAGGGTTTACGCACTGCATATGTGGCTGGTTTTGCTTCTAAAGTTTTGTAAATATTCATGTTAAGGGAAGGTACGACCTCAATCATTTTTACAAATAACTTCACGCCGTGACATTAGGCCCCCGCTTGGATCCTTTACGACGGGGTTTCTCTTTCCGTAAAGTCTGATGGCTTCAGCAAGACTTAGATGTTTTTTCATGTGCTGCCGGGTCCGCGCTCAAATCCGAGAGGCGATATTCGTCGTTAAAAACTTGGTTCATTGCTAAAATAAATTTTTTAATATGTAAATAGCTGATTTTAATGCTTTATCGAACGAGGTAGCCCAAGTCAAGAAGATTTTTTTAAAAAATTTTGTTTTACCCCAATATTTTTAAAAATTATACCCCATATGGAGGGGTACCTTATAACTTTTGAACAAGAGGGCCTCCGGTTTTTACCGTCAATTTTTCTATAAAGTTTCTAATGCTTTATCGAACGAGGTATAGAGTGCCAAATCAAGAAAGATTTTTTCAAAAAATTTTGTTTTACCCCAATATTTTCAAAAATATATACGCCCAAGTAGACAAAACAATAATAAAACATTCTATATTAGCCTGTGCTCCGGCTTGACCTTTTTGAATAATATAGCTAAACGCCGTATGTGCCAGATGACAAGCCTCTAATCCGCCAGCCTCCGCCTTATCAGAATGAAATTTAACAAGAAACTTCTAGCCACTCTCTTCAATAAAATTTAGTTATTTTTAAGATTATCTTTTCACTAAAATTTAATTATTTCAACTTGCATTCGTCCCACGAATTAAGAGATCGGCGTCCATCATCAGCAACGTCTAAACATACCCGCCTCAAACAAAGCCACAAAATCCATATGCCCAAAGAAACTACAAAATTAAACAGAAAAGCCACAATTTCTGCAAAAATTATTTGCGGATGCACATAATTCCTTTCATTCCTACAATTATTAATACTAAAGTTCGTCCATAAAAATTTAACCTGAACACTCCTTCACCATTAGCATCCACACCAACTTGCACTTCCTGATCAATATATGGAGTAGATACGCCCCAGCGGGTAAAATATTAGAATTTTTAACTATTTTTACAATATCTTTCTTTTCAATGATGTAGCCCCTGCTTGGTGTCATTATTACGAAATTTGAATTATTATCTAAAGATTAAAAATTGAAACAATAAAAGTAATATTTTAATGATTAATTATTTTTTTATTTTGGCAAAAAAATCTACTTAAAAATTGATTGGAAAAAAAAGAAAAGAAAGGAAGCTAACAAGTAACTAACATAGGAAGATATCGATTTAGCCATTTATTTTCTTTTATTGCCCATTTTTTTAATTTTTGGCGTTTTAATTTTTTCTATTTCGAAATTTGTCATTTTAAAATTCGAAACTTTGACAATTAACGTTTTGAAATGTTGATCTTTTGTCTGCCCCGCGGAAACTATTCTTTGGCTTTTGGGTTTGATTGGGTGCGGTAGATTGGGTTGGAACACGTAAAAGTTGGAACACGTGGGTTGGAAAACTAAGAAAACACGTAAAATTTAAGAAAAAAGATTAAGAGATTTTGAAAATGAAACTCGGAACAGTGAACTAGAAACGGCCAAACAACAATTTGTTATTGATGTATGAGATTATCAATCAAGAATTAAAATTTCCTATTCAGGAATCAAGATAAAAATAAATTTCACTATTTCAGAGAATGTTAACACCCTTTGTTGGTGTGGAATGTAAAAAACAACCAGGCGCGTTATAAAGAACAAACGAAAAGACAGAAAAATAAATTTTTATATATTTTTCTTCGTTTTATGTAATTTTTTAATTCATTCTATAATTTCTACAACTTTCTAAAATAAATTAAATTTTTGTTTAATTTAAAATTATCTAAATAAGTTTTACTTTATTATTTCCATTAACAACACTTAATTTTTGCGGTCTCCCGTTTTCTTTAGTTTAATTGATCATAACTTTGTTTATTATTAACCAATCCAAATGACTTTGGACCAATAGACTTATCTCATTCACTTGCATCGAAATAGCTTATAATTCAATTTTTGAAAATTTTACGCAAAAAATTTGAATCTTCTCAAATTATTTTAATCTATTATTCATAGCTCCATATCTCGGTTCATTTACGTCTTAACTACCTAATTTTTACGTAATTAGAATAGGATTGCAGAGCTGATTCGAATGATATAAAGATTTCCCATTCAAGATATTAGTCTTGAGTCTAAGCCAATTTTTATCAAAAAAATCTTGCTCAAACTTTGGTAAAAGATTTATTTGCTAAATTATAAAATTTTAAGGCAATTCTGATAACAAAAAATTTCTCAGAGTCTTGGGATTCGAATAAAAAAAGAATTATTTTTGTTAAATTAAAGCGAGATATGGCCAAAACAAAACGCGCGCAAAATTTGCCGCACCATGCATATAAAACAAATATCAAATTTTTATCAAAATAAATTTATCAAAAGATTAATAATAATGAAAAAATTGAAATTTACGTTTTTGCTAAACTACTTGGTATATATATGGTGTGTTATCCAATTATATAAACACTTTTTATAAATTTTGTTTTATATTAGATGTTTGTGAATATATTTTTTAAAGTTCTTTTCCCTTGTTTCTCGTTGATTTTCGAGATTCGAGATCTCAATGGAATTGTCATTTAAAGACTTGGATCTTTTCGACTTTCTACTTAATATCAATGTAAATGCTCACAGAAATTTTTGAAAATTTTTTGAGCATATCTAATATAAAACAAAATTTATAAAAAAGTGTTCATATAATGTTTTTGCAAATAAATACACACCATAGATTTTTAAAAATTCAGAAAAAAATTTCTTTCAAACCCTTCTTTAAAAATTCTTTCAACATTAGCAACTTCGCTACAATCACTTCATGCTTATTTAAAAAAATAAATAGAATCATTAAAATATTTAGAAAATTAAAGTTAAAAGAATATTGGGAATTTTTTGTATAAAAGTTGTTAAAATAAATTATTATAGTAGGTTTTTTCTTTAACTAATAGTCCGATCCCTACATATTAATTTTTAACTAACTGCTAAAGCATTCCTAATACGATTTCTGAAGGTGAGGTTATAGTTATTAGTAATTAGTAATTATTGATTAGTAATTATTAAAGTTTTTTGTATAGAACAAAAATATTATTTTTTAAATTATGTTTAAAAACTCAACAAAATATTTTTTTTCTTACCATTATTTCCATCACCAGTATTTGAACTGTTTTCATTTGCACCATCTCTTGGAGTGTTATTTGAACCATGTGATGATTGTTGTGGTTGAAATTGTCCTTGTCGAAAATGATTTGGTTGGGGCTGATTTTGTCGGTATTGTGCTTGTAATTGTCCACGAACATGTTCAGAGAATATAGGTCGACGAGGTGGTTGCTGTGGACGTTGTTGAATAGTTGGTGGAGGTATATTTAGTCCAGAGACAAGATTATTCAGAAAGTTACGCTTATTTTCAGCCAAGACAGGATTGTAAATTGAATATTGAAATCGTTGATTAGAAGGTAGTTGAGGTAAAGGATTCAAGTTGGCGGTATTCAAAGCTAAAATTTATTACTTTTTTATGTGACAAAATTATCAACTTCAACTAGGTCTATAAATAATGATTACCAGAAGTCAATGGAATTGTTGGATTATGATTTATACGTGGACGAATGCTTGAACTTTCTGCAGTATTTAATGAATGTACTTGTGCATTAATTGGTTGATGTCCGATTATTTGTATATTTCCAATGGGTCTTTGCTGTTGTTGTTGTTGTTGAAGTTGTTGTTGTTGTAGTTGTTGTTGTTGAAGTTGTTGTTGTTGTAGTTGTTGTTGTTGTTGTTGTAGTAGTTGTTGTTGTAGTTGTTGTTGGTGTAGTTGTTGTTGTTGAAGTTGTTGTTGTTGTTGTCGTTGTTGTTGTTGTTGTTGTTGTTGTTGAAGTTGTTGTAGTTGTTGTTGTTGAAGTTGTTGTTGTAGTAGTTTTTGTTGTTGTAATTCATATAGCGTTGGTGGCAATGTAATTTGGTTCAAATTAAGCAAAGGATTATATTGTTGAAATGGAGACTGATAATTTGATAAATAACCAGCATTTGGTAGATGTTGCTTAATTGAATTATCAAGTTGTTGAATAAGACTTCCCAATTGATCTGGTTGTGGTGGACGTTGAATTTGTTTACTTTTACTTTTTAAATTGCTTGGACCCGCACCTTTTTGCATTTCCAAAACTCGTTGTTTTTTTGGATTAATTCGTAATATTTTTTCATTTTGGTTCACCTTTACTTTTCCTTTACCGCGGTTTTGATCAAGTTCAGCTTGAGGAGGCTTGTTCAAATCTATTCCTCGTATATTTTGACTTGTTTCATCACTTCGAGGGCCAACAACTTTATAAGAATTATTTTAATAAAAATGGAAATTTTAGAATTAACAAACTATTTGTTAACAATAATTTATAAAAATAAATGTATGAACATTCATATAAAAAATAAAGGTTTACTTGGTGCATTTCCAGAATTCGTTGGAGTTTCATCTTTGTTTACAGAATGTTCTGATGTATTCTATATTATTAAAATTATTTAAAAAATTTTAAAAATAACAAAAAAGTTTAATTTAGTTTTATCATGCCGAAAGTGTTACAACACCCAAAACAATCAAAAAATAATTACTTTAGAATTATCATCCACTGATAATACAAACTTTAATTGTAAAATAAAATAAAATAACAAAAATAATTTTTTGTTTTTCATTTAAATTTATTTTGATAAGAATCTATAATTTATTCAAAAAAAGTTTTTAAATTAATTTATTTATTTAAATATTTAATTATATAAAATATTTAATTATTTTAAATAAAAAGTTTTAAATTAAATATTTAAAATTTAAAGAATAATTAATTATTAAATTTTAACTTTAAAGGGAATTAATTAAGAGCTTTTTAAATTAATATTAAATGCCATTGCAGTTTTTAAAATGTGGGTGAGGGTGTGGGTGAGGGAGGGAGGGAGAGTAAGAGGGAGGGTGGGAGTTAATTCCCCCAAGGCCCATTGTTTAGAGGTAATGCAAATTGATTTTTTAAAATTTAATTTGCAATAAAAATTTATCTCAATATTGATTTAAAATTTTTAATAAAATATTTATTGCAAATTAAATTTAAAAGTCTAAATATAAATTTGTTTCTATAATATATAATTTATCTATAACGGTTAACTTGAAAGTAGGTTGTTGACGTTCGGTTAATCGAAACGGACTGAAAACCGGATTTTTGCACTTTATCTGAATAGCCGGGGGTCAATTTGACTACGGATATAAGCGCCGCAGGCAAAATTTTGAGAACATGTAAACCATATTTCTTTCGATTTTAAAAAAATAAAGCAAAACTGCAACTACTCCTACTTCACTATGGTATGACATTGAACAACTTTCCACGTTCCCTGAAACAACTTTCTTTTACGTCAAAGAATTAAGAGGAATTGAGGAGGTATATCGGTATATTTATTTAGTCAAAGTACCGTATTTTCTTTAAAATAGCCCCCCCTCTAAAATAACCCACCCCCCCCTAAAATAGCCCCCCTCTAGAAGTCGATCGAAAAAAATACCCCCCCCCCCTCTTCGGTCTCAAAATTCTTATAAAAATAAATAGGCCATTTTCCTAACAGACGATCAAATCCATCCACTTCAATTGAAGTTAAAAACAATTCAACGGCAAAAATTGAAAGAGCCGATTTCAGTGAATAACAATCTATTGGAGCTCCTTGTCTACAAAAATGTATCACTCCAACTACGCATTCTGCTGCATTATCCATTAATTTTTCAAAGGCGATATCACTAATCTCTTTATAATTTATCTTTTCTGCATTAGTTTCAGAATCAAAATTTGATACTGCATTTTTAAATGTCTTGTACATTTTTAGATGTTCACGGCCATCATCAAGATTTTTCTATTAAATGTATTTTAGAAAAATTTTTATAAATTTTAATAGAAAGATAATATTTATGAAATTTTGGTTTTGGAAATTTGGGATTTACAGTCGTGGAAAAAAGTATGGAAGCGCTAGAAAATTTTTTCTTAATTCTTAATTTTTCATTCAAAAAATACGTTCTATATACCAATCGAAAGCTCTATTCGTATCTCAGTTGACATGTTTCTGCATTTTACATGAAAATGAAAATTGGCCGAGATAATCCGGATCTACCGGATATACCAAATCCCACTTTTTCGGAAAAATTTTTCGAAAGAAATTTAACAAACCCATTTGATAAAGAATATTTTTCTGAGTATTTTCCACAAAACCGCTAAGAAATATCTTTTTCCGGAACAGAGATGTGATTTTTTGAAAATGGCATTTTTCGCTTAAAAATTGGATTTTTTGCAAAAATAGACGAAAAATGCCATTTTCAAAAAATCATATCTCTGCTCCGAAAAAAGATATTTCTAAGCGGTTTTGTGGAAAATACTCAGAAAAATATGCTTTATCATTTGGGTTTGTTAAATTTGTTCCGAAAAATTTTTCCGAAAAAGTGGGATTTGGTATATCCGGTAGATCCGGATTATCTCGGCCAATTTTCATTTTCATGAAAAATGCAGAAACATGTCAACTGAGATACGAATAGAGCTTTCGATTGGTATATAGAACGTATTTTTTGAATGAAAAATTAAGAATTAAGAAAAAATTTTCTAGCGCTTCCATACTTTTTTCCAAGACTGTATTATTATACTAAGTTTTATAAATTTATTAAAATATGGATATGTATCAAGGAATTGTGGGTCGAAAGTTAGAAAGGAAATATTTGGCCTAGAGTTAGGGTGTTGAGAAATGACTAATATTTATAAATTACTATAACAAACTAGTCAAGTAATAAAATCGTTCAGTTTACCTGTATACTATCATTCAACATATTCAAACGTTTTAGTCTAATTTGCTCTCTTCTAGGTCCCTTGGGAGGGTGAAGCATTTTAGAAATTCTCATATAAATTTGATAAATTTTATTTTTTCCAATATTAAAAGTTTTATTCATAAATGCTTCTCTAATATAATTTCCAATGGTTCTAATTTCTTTATAAAACTCAACAGAGCGTTGTTCTTTTAAAAATTTAACCCGATTTATACTCGTTTCTATATTTCTAATTTTCCAGCAAAAATTATATGTCTTGGGTCTTTCGCTGTAATGAATGTCAATGTTCAGAAGATTACAAATATGTTTAGCATTTTCTAAGATTCTTTTGTTAAACATTAATAACAGTTCATAATCGTCATCATCCGTTCTTTCTGTAATTTTTGGAAGTTTTTACTCTATTTAAAAAATAATAACAGATTCTATATCGATAAAAATATTTAAGATTTTATTTGAATAAATGGGCTTTTAAATTTGTGAATTATAATACCTGAAAGATTTAGGTTTTGGTTGACATCTATCATGAATTCATCTAAATTGATTTGCTTTTATCTTAAAGTTTAATATTATTACCTGTTAATGTATCCTCGTGAAGAATCAAGTTTCGTCCTTTTATTATTAAAAAATTTATTAAATAATTTAGTATCAATAAATTAATTTCTATTTTATTTAGACACAAATTCTAAAAATCTATCGAATAATCATAGGAATATTATTCAAATATATTTTTAATAATTTAGTATTAAATTAAATGCCTCTCGACAATATCGGATTAGCGATTGCGGATATGCTAGGGCCTATATCAATTTATTCTATATTATTTAATTCTTTCTCAGTTATACGTTGATTCTATTTTTCCAACAATATTCAATATTATTTCAATTATAAAATTTTACCTCCTATATTCATTTCTTCAAATTGAGTATGTATGTCAGGGTTATACTGTGAAACATCATCATCCCAATTATCATAATGATGGGTTGTTTGTCCTTGCGATGTAGAAGGAATTTCTTGCCACCCTCCTTGAGTATTATCATATTCTCTAAACTTGCCTTCAGATTCATCATCTTCATATTCTGCTTCACATTCTTCCTCTTCCTCATCATAATAATAATGGCCTGTTTGTCCTTGCGATGTAGAAGGCATTTCTTGCCACCCTCCTTCAGTATTATCATATTCTCGGAATCTGCCTTCAGATTCATCATCTTCATATTCTGCTTCACAATCTTCTTCATCCTCTTTATAATAATAATGGCCTGTTTGTCCTTGCGATGTTGAGGGCATTTCTTCCCACTCTCCCCGCGTAGAATGATGTTCTTCTGGAACATTGCATTCATATCCATCCTCTATAGAATGATCATCAGATTGATTTGCATTTTGATTCCCAAAAAAGCTATTGCAATAATTACAGAAATTATGCCAGCAACTATTTATGCATTCTCCAAGATGAATGTCCCAACAATTTTGTGGACATATATTATCGACGAAACCATTCCAGCATGAAGTGCAACAAGCATTCCAGTGATTATTTTGATCCATTCCATTAAATAATGGAGATAAGAGAAAAATCATAAATAATAAAAACAACATTAATGTTTAAATTAACTAAAATGTTTTAATTTATTTGTATAAATTTGTCTAATTGTTAAATATACATTGTCGGAAAAAAGTATTGAGCCGAAGGCTGTTAAATGCTGTTAAATTTAAAACTTTTAGAAAAAAGTTTTGAAACAAATTGTGGATATTTATGCGGTCCTTAAAATGACTAAAAATATTAGTACATATAATTAATTTGCTACAAAATATACTAGATTAATGTTAACAGTTCCAGTTTAGAAATTTTAAACCTCAATCAAACATTAAAATCATAACACGCCCCGAAAACATAGATTCTGGTTTTAAAATTTTTGTTTGTTTTAATTTTTATTTAACTATACTTTTTGAAACATTTTTTAAAAATTATTATAAGAGTGTTAATGGATGAAGACTAATTTAACAGCCTTTGGCTCTTTTTTTAACTCTCTATTCATATTTTAAAAATTTTAAAATGAAATTAAATGCCTTAATTCTTTTGACTTTTATATTACAATAATAGTAATATTCACTAAATCGAAATTTCGATATTTTAATTGTGACTTCTAACTCAATTAATTAAAAAATATTACTTTATTAAATCCTCTTTCTCTATACATATAATCACTCTCTACTTTTATAATCAATCTAGTCATATGAGATTGACTTGCTTGCTTCCCTCGATAGACATGCGCTTGTAAAATTTAAAAATAAAATCATAATTTCAAAACCAAATCGAAATTTCGAACTAATTTTTATTACTAAAATTGTATTTTAAAAATCAATTAAATTAAAATTATTAAATTAAAACTAAAAAATCCTAAATTTTAAATCATCCAAAACTTGAAATAATAACATTAT